AACTTTTAGAATTACAAAAATATGATAGTTTTCGTTTTCTCAATTCTCTGTTGGAAGTAGAAAAAAAAAATTTAACAAAAAGAATATTTGCGAAGACTGCAGGAATCAATTAAGAAATATTTAGGGTGTGGGTGTGGGTGTAGGTTTTCTTTTTACCCACACCCACACCCACACTCTTATTGTCAAAATATAACAGTTCATCAAAAATCGATAAAATTGCATTGCTTCCTTCATTAACTTATAAATATTTTTAATGAAGCATTACAAAGAAGCTCAACATATATAAAATGAAATGTATCCGTGATGATTCCAAAGTCATGGCAAAATTATCTAATGGTGATGGTGTAACTGTTGGTTTTTGATAATCAGTTTGATTGGTAAGATGAACATTGTCTCGCTTTATATAGACTGGTGTACTTTGATCATATTTGTAATCAAGTGCAGCAATACTAAACACAACGGCATTGGTGATTACAGTAGTATTTGAATTCATATCAGGAATGTTTATTACGTCCATTGCAATTGTATCAATTACATTACTTATTGCAGCTAGACGATAAGCTTTTACAAACCCATCTGTTGATAAAAGACCCATAGTATCAATGACACGTAAGGTAATAGTTATTTGAGTTCGACCATGGTTATAAAGTGTATAGTTCATTAATAATGTATTATTAACAATGACAAAATAAGGTTGATCATCAATACTTAATGAAATCGATGTTGGTGATATAATTTCTTTTTTTCCTCGTTGAACTGTTGTACCATCTTGTAATTTAACCACTGTATTGAGACGAAAATTCACATCGGGTACAGTTAATTGTGACAAAAAGCCTGTGGGTGAAATTTGAATTGACGTCAATGTTTGTAATACATTTGATCCATTGTTGGCATCTATGAGATTTACATAACCTGTTGTTAAATCCGACGGAAGATTTTCACAAATTGTTAATATGAATAAATCTGTTTCGTCTTTAATTGGTTGATTAATCAAAGGCGTAAAACTGACATTTGATGAAGAGTCAATTATTTCTTTTTGTATTGTAGATGAACATATTGTTTGACTAATAGCATTCACTTGAATAGTATGATCGACATGCATAGAAGAAATCAGTGTCCATTCTCCGCTTTCAGTAGTCCCAACTGGTATTGTATATAAGAGAACATAAGGTGTTTGAGATGTTGGTGATGGTATAAATGCTACACCTGATGGTTTGATCAAACGAAAGCTACCAGGTGATAGAAGATTGGCCGATGTTACTTCAATTTTCAGAGACTTAATCGATAAATCAACATAAAATTTAACATTCATATTTATTCCTTTAGCAAAAATAACTGTTGTCATTTTATCAGCTTCGAGATTTTGAATGATATATTCACTAGTAGCATTGAGTGCTTGATCATTGATACCCATCATAACACCACCAGTCACGGATGGTAAATCAGTACCATCAATAACATCTAAAGATTCGATTACATCAGTAGTGTTCATAAACGCACGACCATTCTGTTTTTGTAATTGTCGAACTTTTGAATTCGCATAAAACAGAGTAATTATCACGCGTTTTTCCTTTGCTAGTTGTACAGCTTGACTTTTTAAATAAGCATCTTTTGCTGGAGCATCGGTGAAAGCATATAAAACTGATCCGATTTCACAAGCTTTTAGTGCATCAACGATTCCATGATAGTATAGTTCGGGTGTATCCCCACCATCATGAGCATAAAGTTTGCTAATTTCTGATACAAATGCTTCTGGAGTTTTACTTATTGTTACCGGTCCCCAAGTAGGATCATTGAAGGCCGAAAGAATATAGTTAATTGGTGGATAGTCTAGATTCTTATGAATATCAACGATACCAATGGCGATTTGCTTAGCCATTTCAATATATGATGACATACTACCAGTGTCGTCCATAACGATAACTAAACTATTAGAAGAGAAATTTCGTAGACTAGTTGCTAAACCAAGAAAATTTCCGAATGGTTCATTTCCAATCATTGTCCAAAATTCGCTTAATATTTGTTTTGTTGCATTATAAGCGACAGATGCTGCTAATGTGTGTAAATGACCATGATCAGATCTTAATGAATCCTTATTAATACCACCTCCTCTAGCATCTGTCTCAACAGTATAATCTGTTACACCACCATGACTACATTTTCCAACTGGTTTTGTTTGTTTATCAAGCAGTTCACCAAATACCTTCAATCCAAAATAACCACTAGTAAGAATATTTTCCTTTATAATATCTGAATCAATATTGGTCCGACATGCATCACCAACACAATCAATACATGTTCGCTTGCCTTTCGAAGCATATCTACCTAAAATTTCATACTTTCCAATGCCTTTGTTTGGTACCCGATGGCCAATTTCAATCCAATTCGAATGGCTGTAAAAATCTTGAACAGTGTGTAACAATGCACCAAACGACTCCCTTGCTTTTTCATAATCTTTCATCATCATATTCGTCATAGCTGCGTCTAATCTTTGCGAGATTAATAAAGCTCCATCATCGAATTTCTCATTATCAAAATGAGTTGCTTCATTAAATATTTCCAACAGATCCCGATTTATATTCTGTTGAGCAACAGTATCAATTGCACGAGATAAACGTTTATTGTCAATTTTTAATTTATCTAATTCAATATTAATCGCATCAAAAATAACTTTTGTTTGACATGTACCATATTGAATGTTAATGGAAGAATGAATTGTTAAAATATTGTAGACTTCTTTTAAATAATCCGCAGCTGTTTCTAATAGAGCACATTCAGTCATTGAATAATGAGTAGCATCTTTCGATACAATGAAATTAGATGTCCATCCAACATTAAAACTGTATACTTTCAAATACAGAAAGAAAAAACATAAAACAACGTAGCTCGTGTGCATGATATGTCTGAAATAAGGTGACTCTTTCAATGGCTTGTTATTGCTTTTATACTCAACTTAACGTCATAACAATATCGATTTGAGAGTTGTTGCTAGGATTTTATCAGTGATTGTCTACTACCCACTCAATGTTTGGTATGAATGAGACCTTAATCTTTTTCTCGCTGAAAGAAATTCATTTTATTTGATTACTAATGAGTGCTAAGAATATTTTATGAAGAGTTCTTTGTGATTCGTATCTATTTATTTTTCGTATTCTTGAATTTCTCTCAGTACAGATAATGTTACCTATGCATCCAATGCAGACATGTTTTTTTCCATTTCAGTTGAAAATTCTAAAGCAGATTGACGCAAAATACGATGCAATATCAATAAATACCGACCGTATTCGGTAAGAACGCTATTGATAAAATCGTTCGGACACATACATCTCATATAAAATGTTCTTTCGGTGAAAGGCAAGTAATAATGTGATTAAGTAATTCGATAGTTTTCATACCGATTACAAATCAGTGTATTGAAAGGTAGGTAGTCGACGAAACAGAAATGTAAAACGTGTAAGTCAATATTGTGTTGTCTGGTTTCAAATGGCCGAAAAAAATGATTTCAAACACTTTCTTATAGTATTAATTGAAGACAAAATGCAAAAAATCGAATGGATTTTTCGTCGGGATATGACTTCGATGATACTTTTCTTTTGTGAATTATTGACAATGTCAAGGAAAATGTTCACTAATTGGGAAAAAAGGTTAGGATTTATGGGTGTGCGTGAGGGCGGGATGGTCTGTATACGTGTCGATGAAGGGAACACTACACTCATACCCATCTACACTTCACACCTGCACCCACACTTACATGAGTACAAGAAAACTTTCCACTGTACAAAATCGAATTTCTTAACAATGAAGCACTTTTCAAATGTACTCACCTAACGAAAATGATTTTCAGGAATTAATACAGTATTTTTTGCTACCCCTACTTCCAGTTTTAAAATGATGGCCTGAATATATGGATCGATCACCTGAATGAGATCATCACATATTCGCTGTACATAACTAAAAATATGTTGAGGGTGTGGGTGTGGGCGTGGGTGTGTGTGGGGTGGGTGTGGATGTGGGTGTCGGTCTTCTCTTTACACCCATACCCTAGACCCCCACCCCCACCCCCTATAACAACTTGTAATGAGTACAAGATTCCGAATGATATTCATGTTACGGAAAGTTACGTATTTATACACAATTATCTGAAGTTATTTCTTCTTCATCTTTCCCTATCGATTTATATTACTTACCATTTATGCACGGTTACCTGAATTTCTTTTTTTCTTTTTCTTTTTCATTTTCATCTTTCCACATCGATTTATATTACTTACCTTCTATAAACAGTCTATGTATCACATAAAGGTACTTGCTTAAAAAAGATAATTCGAAAGGCGTCGCGTTACTTATATTTTCTTGAATTAACATTTTTTTCTACTGATTATTTTTTTCTTTCTCTGTTTTCTTTTGTTTTTCCCTTATCTTTCTTTAAAAATAATAAAATTATTTAAAAATTAAAAATAAAAAAAAAATAAAAAAGACTAAAGCTCAAAAAACCTTATATTTTGTTCTATTTCTTATTACTCATTTCATTACTATATATTGAAAATAACATATACTTTATCTAAAAACAAAAATTTCATGTTGACTTGCCAAATTTAAATAATTTGATTTGATGATTGTCGCCTTGGATTTGGACTTTGTCTTTTTCGTTATCATTTGTTGTTCTGTTAAGATGGTTGTGATGGAAAACGGTTTGCTTTGTTTTGATAAAGTTGATGATGATGAAGATTGAATAGCTGAAGATGGTGTTGGACTTATATCAGTATTTGATGTTGTTGGTGATAACGTTTCATCTGAACCTGATGAAAATGATAACGTGGTGCTGTTTGACGGTTTCAATCCTAATGGTAATCTGGTTTTATTAATATTCGATACCATTGTTGTTTGTTGTGTTACTGTTTGAATTTTAAATTTATTGTTACGATAACAATTATTGAAAGCTATTAAAGAAATCGAAAATAAGGAGTCTGGAAAAGGCAATTGAGCGTGAAATGTTTTTCCGTTCTTTGAGATTCTGATGACCAGAATTAAAAAATGAAGTTATGAACCGATGATTTCGCGTCGATTACAATAGACAGAATTCAAGGGAGATATATAAATACATCTTATTGAGCGATATTAGTTCTCAATAGGTCATGGGGTTATATAACAAGGTTAGTTTTTAAAAAAAAGTCTGTGCCTACATCTTAATATCGCAAAACAGTATCAACACTACAAATATTTTATATTCTTATAAGCAACTTAAGACTCTTGTGCAAGTTAGATTGACTATAAGACATTCAATAGAGAAAAGGCTTTGGTAAAGTATAAACTTACGCAGTAATACTAAGCAAACTAATTGTTATCACCAGAAGAAATATGCAAAAAATATATTGTACTAGAAGTTGATAATGTTAAAAATGTTTATGACTGAAAAGTTTATTTTTCAAGTATTTATATGCTCTACACGGTCGTCTAACCATCTTTCTATTTATTGGACTATTTTCTAGTAAATAATGTTTTTGTTGTGAGTCGTCGAAACAGAATAGTCACAAAAGATCATTTTCTGGTCATCAACACGAATTATTGATATTTAATCCATAGATCAGACCACACTTTTATTTGAACTGAAATAGACTTTGTGTTATGGTTTTAATTTCAAGTTGAAAGTGTGATTTGTTTGAAACACGTGTTTCTACAGAATGTATTTATTTTCATAGACTGCACACTGACAATACATCGTTTTCTATTTTCGATTTGCGTAATGTGTAAAGAACAGGAAAAAAGATGAAATTTAAGCTTATAAAGAAGCTAATAGAAAGAATGAGTATAATCCAGTTCTGGTGACCAGAGTAGATTTAATGACAAAAATATCTTTGCTAAAACCCTTGGTGTCCATAGTACAAGATTTCTAGGAATATCCATCATTTGCCCTAAATTCTGGTCTCCAGATTCGTCCCTACATCCGGTCCCCATTTAGGGACAATTAAATAATTATGGTAAATTTTGGTGACCAAATAGGAACTTTTATTTAGGAACTTTTCAATTTAGGGACTTTTTTCAAATATAAGATATAACATAAATACCAGCACCCGGCATGTCTATATCCATACTAATAGTCTCTATACATGTTTCGTATCGTGATTAACTGAAGATCTGCTGTTCTAATGTAACGCATCACGATGTCTTATCTGGGGACCAGATTCAAGAATAGTACCTAGATTCAAAATAGGATATAGTTCTTATTCTAATGTAAAGCATTTTGATATCAAATGTTCTGACCAGATTCATAAAGCGTTGCTCTTATTCTAATGTAGTGCGTTCGAATGTCAAATTCGATGACTNATTTGAAATTTTGTCCACATAAACACTTCAACTAGACTAGTTTGCATAAAGAATTTCAGAACTTTTGCACAAAGTCTCTCCGAAATATGAAGCTTTCAAAAAAATGCATGCTTTATACGCTATATATGGAAAACGGCTTATGCGTTGAAAGCTTCATATCTCGAAGAGACTTTGTCCAAAAGTTCTAGAATTTTTTATGCAAACTAGTCTAGCTGAGGTATTTATGTGGGCAAAGTTTCAGATCAAAATTCAAAAATATGGCCTTGCTGCAAATGTGGGGTCTAGGAAAAATTCGCTAAAACATCGATATCTCACTAGGAACAAGTTAGGGGCACGAAATTTTTTTACGATAGACATAATTCATCAAGGCCTACAAGATGCGCAAAGTCCCGACTCAAAAGCGTTCCAACATCTGGGAATGTTCCCTCGTAAGCTATGCAGCTTAGTCGCAGCATTTTTGATACTTTTGTGAAGTTTGCTGCGTTTATTCAAAACATCGAAGACTTTATTTTGACATAGTCGGATAGAGCATCAATTACTCTATCGAATTATATAGTTTTTATTTTACTTATTTTACATCTTGTCGAAAAATTTGATTAAGTCGGAGAATGTCTGCAACAAAACTTGAGCACACTGATAAGTCAGCAGCAGTAAACTGAATAATAATGAAAATTATTTTAAATGAAAGAGGTCGATCACAATTTATCGTGCAAAAAATATTAAACAAAAATCATTTGAATTTGAGAAGAAAAATGATCTTGATTGTTAAATTGTGATCCATTTTTATAGCAGTGAAAATCCGACTTGGTATTGCTGTTTTTGCAAAAATATACTTGTAAGACTCCAAATAAATTTGATCAAAACTGCGTAAATGAATAGAGAAATCAACGATCCATTCAGGTACATATCAAGGAAAAGAAAGTTAGGTATTTTAAAAAAATACATAATTTCTCTAAAAAAAACTGAAAAACATGTATCAAAAAGCAATCACAAAAAGTTTCTGAGAAATTCATGATGTTTATGGTAGAAATATGAAATAGGCTCATGAAAAAAATATTTCGATATAGAAATTAACAATCTATTATTCGATATTAAATTAAAGGTTTTAGTATGCTAATAAATAATAGTCCTCAGAAAAATTATTTCAGAAATTATCTGGAATTCGCTGGAGAGAAAAATATTCTGACTGCTCTTCGAGATTTATTAAATTTTTGTATTAGAATCAAACGGAACAAAGAGGCAAACTATTTGTTTCGATAGGGTGATGGATGCTCTATCCAACTGTATCAAAATAAGAAGTCTTCAGCGCTTTGAATAAATACAGCAAAATGCACAAAACTAAAAGAAAACTAACGTAATCCGGCTATATACCTATCTTTTCGAGATCGAATTTTCCAAGAAGACTTATATTTTTGAATTATGGTTCGAAACCTTGCGCATATAGAGAATTCAACTAAACTAATTTCCATAGAAGTATTCAAAATTTTGGGAAAATCTCTTCGATGAAATTTGAAAATTTTAAAACCTATCTAGGGGTATAGCTTACGCTAGTCAAATCTCAATAGGAAACAATAGCCTTTTAGAGTTCTAATCAGAACAATACATAAGCAAATAATCATTGAAATCATAAGTGAACATCGAGCAATGATACCGACCTTTGTTTAGCTTTTTCTTTGACTGATTTACGTGAATGAGTATTGTGAATTACATTAGATTTCGTATTTATTTATAAAAAAATCTGTCAAATAGAGTATTGAAGAAAAAAAGAAATTTTATCATGTAGTAAAGCCAAGCGGGAAACATCGTACTTGTATACTTTAGAGTATAGTGAAGTACAATGAAGTATAATCATGGATGGAAATTTATGTTATGTTGCCTGGTAACTAAAGGATGACTAAAAAGTTTCGACTCCTCTTAGTATATCGATGGTATTTATGACAAACTTATATATCGTTAATTAATCGAACTGAGTAATTTTGTAGAGATAGAGTAGAGCTATCATCTGAAAAAGAGATACTTCGAAATGCTCAAGTATAAGATAATAGTATGGTCATTTTATTCATCTTGAGTAGATGTTTTCATCTTACATTTTTTCAGAAAAATAAATAACAAGATGTTTTTCGTAAAAATATCTGAATGGTTTATAAGTTTATCATGTAGATGTTTTGTAAAAATATCAATAATCACATTTTGTGATGCGTTGACATTGTTTTTGAATGATTGCCTCTAGTCTTTTTGAAATACTGTCGATCATTTTCATACATTCTTCTTCACTAAAATTTTGCCATATATCAATAATTTTTTGCTTGACATCATGTAATGAATTAAATTCATATTTACACAAATCTCCTTTTCAGATGATAGCTCTACTCTTTCTCGACAAAATTACATAGTTTGATTAATTAACGATATATAAGTTTGTCATAAATACCATCGATATACTAAGAGGGGTCTAAACTTTTTGGTCACCCTTGAGTAATGGAAATTGGAAGACCTCGATCTTTCAGCTTGGGAAGGGATATTTCTAGAAAATAAAGATTTTGTATAAAGGTTGACGAAAGTAAATAGGGGTCGGGAAATCCGAATCTGCAATCGGTTTCTCAAAATCTGAAGTGGATTTTTGGGCTAAAGAAGGGACATATCGAGAAAATAACGATTTATTATAAAGTTTAACGAAAACTGTTGGTATGGAGAGTTTTGAACTGACAACTTAGGGGTGTTAAATTTGATAGAGATGCATGATGGTATTGAATTGGACCACTTGTCCTTGCTAGAAGTTAAGGTGACAGGAGAGAAACTTTTTTAAATGCCTTATACTAGTTTATGGGTTTCCCAGAAGCTTTTTCATGGATTCTGTATATTCTGCTGTTTGTTATGGAAAACCATCTTCTAAGTGCAACAACACGATCCTTTTATTAGAAGTACCTTTTACATTTTGAAAGCTAGTACTTCTGCGTTTGGTTGAGTCGAGTTTGCATTGAAGCATGAAAGTTGTTTTCATGAATGCTCGGTTTACTTGGGGAAAGCTAGGGATATCAAATGTGGACTCGACAGCGACTTGCTTAGAACTGGTTGAATTCGCGTAATAGTTGGCCATGCCGTTCGATTCTGAATAGATGTCTTGGGGATAGGGATACAGTACCCAACGAAGTCGTCGAAATGACTTCAATTTTTATGCAGAAATGCAGTATGATAAAGAGCTTGTAAGGAAACTGTCTATTTATGAATTATCCGTAGATGTGGTATCAATTCGAATAGTAAGGCAAAAGTAGTCGATGAGCTATGTGCAATGTGGAGTGCAAGTTGTTTTAAGACGATTAAATCTACAAAGACAATATGCTACATAGTGTTATTGAACTTAGTAATATACGATACTAAACAAGCATAGAGAAAGATATATATATAATTAGGTCAAAGAATATGTTCCGTGACAAGTGGATCTTTTTTAATGTAGATGCTGGGATACTTGGTTTTTCATATGACTTTATGATAGTTATCAACTTCAGTATGATAGGTTTTGTTTCAACATTTCTATCTTTGTCAATGCTTATGAGTTAACTATATATTTTTGCAAAATTACATCTTCCCAAAAATCGTATTTCATTCCACTTTGCTTTGCAGCGAGCTATTGATAAAGGATGAAAAGATCTGCTACGCTTATTCAAAGAGATTCCTAGCGATAGTACAGGATAACAAGCAATTATAAGAGGTCGGCAGGGACTATGGGAGGTCACTAGCCGCAATCAGAAATCACAAGGAACTAACAGAGATTACCAGGAACTCTCAGGTACACCAATTAACTACAGAGAAATACTAGGAACTATTAAGAACTACCAGAGTTTCCACGCAAGTAAGAGAAGCTATGAATAATCCCAAAGTACTAGCAGTAGCAATCATTTTTAACGAGTACGAAGGCCTACCAATCCTGGTATCCACTTCAGACAGTAGCAGGCTCTGAGACACTACTAAAGCTATTCATACAACTGATAAAAATCAAAGTATTGTATGACTTCTTTATCTGAGTTACATTGAAAGTCAATCCCGTATTACGAAGAACAAATCATGCTTCACAAGAACCATTAGAAATAGTCAAAGTAAAAGAAACACAAGTAATTCCAGAACCGCACGGTATTCGTAGCTTTAAGCTGAATCTTTGAACTTTCAGCCTTGCATTATGAGGGTTTCAATGAACTTGATGAAGCCCACATATCCATGGAACTTTAATATTTCATGAAGATTCAGAAACGTATACAGTTCTCCAAACCAAAGCAATACGTACTATTGCATGAAATGATGAAATCTGCGAATGTGTGCTATGTATAACTGCACGCCTCATAAATCTGAACGGTCAATTTGTGGGCATCCTCAAACACAATCACAAGGGCCTTAATTTGTGCGCAGACCCATACCAACACACTTTCTGTCTAAAGCGCAACTTCAACCATAACCACCTTTTGATGCTTTCAGCGGCATTGCTTAACTGGCTTCTGACATCAAACACATACTTGTAGTTTTGCAATCAGTTTCGAACAAAAAGATCCCTCGAGTTCGAATATACTATTGAAGTCGTAGAAGCGGGTCACTAATGAACCGTCCACTTTGCAAGCATTATTGAAATATCTCACACCAAAACACCATTTTGAACAACCAATAGGAGTGATAACCTACACATTCACATCAATACTCCGAAATACACTAAACTTAGGTCCAGCAGCAGGATTGATTTTTCACAACAGGTGATACAAGGTCTTATCATAGATGCTCATCTTTGCAGAACACCCCTTTCTTCGTCTAAAAATCGACTTCTCAATTTCGAGAAACCGATGACAGATTCGGATTCCTGGACCCCGATTTACTTACGTCAATCTTTATATGAAATCATTTTCTAGAAATATCCCTTCCCAAACTGAAAGCTTGAGGTCTTCCAATTTCAGTTACTCCGTAATCAGTGCTCATGTTGCTTAAGTGTCATAGAACTGTAACTTCCCACGCCTAAGCTGAATGAAATACCTTGAATTATCGTAAAGCCCAATGAAGCACTTCAAACTACATGAAGTACATTAAAGAACAATAAAGTACAAAAGTATAGAAGTATGATGTTTCCCCCTTGAGTAAAGGAGATAGATTGCATCATTTTAAGGAACCACGAACATCTTCGATAAGAGAATTTCGCAGGAACTGATTTCGAACAAAAGATTTAAGTGATGTAGTTGAAATATTTTTTCAATAAATAATTTGTTAACAAATATTCTCATGCGAAGCAAAAGTATTGGGCGAATTGATTGAATCTTCATGCCCATAGTTTTTTACGAAAAAAACATTCGTCATAGGCATGAATAAACGAAGTTTAAAGATGTCAAATATCGTTAGAGTAATGTTCTTTGAATAATTAATTCTGATGCGCTTTACCGAAGCTTATTCCATATAAAACAGAAATGAAAACTTGATCTTGAAAAAACATGTATGTAGTTTAACATTCTTTCAATCTCATTCATATTCGATTAGTGAATATTTATTAATTTTATTGATTCCATTTTTTGTCATATTAAAATCTATTTTGTTAAATTATTATTCTACATCAGAGACCGTCACAGGGTAGTTTTTTATGCCTTGTCCTGCCCTGCCCTCAGGGCAGGCTAGGACAGGGCTGGGCTTCTAAATTGAGTATGCCTTTAGCAAGATTTAAACGCTTCATAAAAAGTATATGATTGCTTTTGAATTTAGTATCCATATGTTGTTAGTGTTAGTTCGAAAGAATCCCGCAATCAAACTTGGTATACCATTAAAAAGCATCGTGGACAAGAAGCAGTACTCTTGTACAAACTCTAAAAACATCTAATTTTATTGGACTTGTTCTGTTTAAAAAATAATTAAAATGCTACTATTTGAATCAAATTATTCGATTTTTAAGCGTTCTAAATGACAACATGAATGAAATTCTTCTATTTGAAAGTTAAACTTGAGAATTTCAATTTTTTTTTACCCTTGACTACGAAAAACGATACGTGTAAAACTATATTAACTAACGACACATCATACTTCAAGATATAACCCTAATTGATAATTCAACTTATAAACTTAAATGCTGATACCTTTAACTCTGAAAAGTTTTTTGTTAACACTTAATTATAAAATCAAGGGCTTTGAAAAAAGTTTTCCCAATTGAATTTTTCATGTAACAACCGGTTCGAAATCAGATTAAAATCGATTCTTTGTGATAATTAATTTATTTTTATTAATCGATAAATATATATTAAAAAAGATAAAACTCAAATGAAGTCTGCAACGCTGAAAAATCTGCTTGAAATCAAGTTAAAGTATTGCCATTTTTATCTATTTTTAATCGAAAGCAATGGATTTCAATCTGAATTTTAATCTTTTTTATGGGTTGATATATTTAGTAATAGGTTTTGTGGAATACCCACTTTTATTCTAAAAACACGAGCTTAATAGGAGTAAATTAATTTTCATTATAAAAAAGTGGTCTCTCACTAAAAAACTAGTCTTTAATGTGCTAGCCTAAAAAAATCTCCAGAATTTCCCAGAAGAAAGTTTTGCGAGGCCCATTACCTTTTATTATGCGTTTGAAGTTTTTTTGTGAGAGATTCTCTTATATAGAACGATGTTTTATTCTTCATGGGTGTTAATCTTAAGTCGGCTAATTTTCAATTGAATTGAACAAAGCCTAATTTTCAGATTGAAAGGCAACTTATTGTTAGGTTTCTTTAGTTAAACTTATTTTTTCATGCGCATAAACTTAAAATTTTTAGCACGAAAGCCCTTTCATGCAGAGACTTCTTTAGATAAACATTGAAAAATTAAATTTGCCTAGAACATCAATCAGTGTTAATCTATTATAATTATAATGTTTAATTGATTAAAAGTTCTTTTTTTTTAAATTAACTTCATTCTATCAACAAGAATTGAACATTAAATAATAAGATTACAATTCAGTTACAATAATACTCTATGAATTCATTTTGAATGAGAAAAATTCTAATAATATCATATTTTTCAAAAATTTCTTTTATAGACACAAGGCAAAAAGTTTTGCACTGCCCTATCCTGTGACGGCCTCTGTTCTACGCTGAATAATTAAAATAAAATTTTTCTTTAGCATCCTCTTCCAACTTATGGCTATGCTTTATTGTTTTCTATTCTTGGTTACTTGGGTATTGATGTGGTTCTAAGTTTAATTAAAGAGTATGGTGCATTAATCTGTGTGACTGTGACGACATGTCGAAAAGTTATAACAATTGTATTATCATTTACATTTTTTTCAAAACCATTTGTTTTCGAGTATGTAGTTTTTCTTCCTTGTTATATTGATTTTTTGTTTCTAATTTTTAATAGTTATGTTTGGTCCGGTTTAATTGTTATTCTTGGTATTTATCTCAATGTTTATAGTCGAAATCAAACAGCATTTAATGCGAAAATATCATCGTATACTAATAGTTTATTAAGTTTATTTCGGTAGCCAAAGTTTACAACATCAACTAAATCTCTAACATTACCTAGTTTATTAGTTTAATGATACTCAAATTGTTATATCTGCAAAAGCTACAGCAACATTTTGCATCTATTAATTAAACATCCAGCAAACGTAAATAAAAAATACAGAAGGAAATATTTTATGACTCGACAAAATGTGTCAGAAAGGGTGTGGGTGTGGGAATGGGGTGTGGATGTGGGTGTGAGTGATATGGATGCGAATATTCAAAATGTTCACAGTCACACCCAAAACTATTACCTTTCACCAGTGATTACATCCTACAATCGCCATTTTCCTTGATGGGATTGCGCAAAATTTTCTTGATAAAGCCCAACCTGTTTGACTCGGTAAGTATGGATCAGCAAGTCGTGTACACAGAGAGTAGTAACTCTCTTTTAGTTTTAGAGGGTCAGAAGTAATTTGTTTAAGAATAATATGACTCGTATCAGCCTTCAGCTGTATTTCATCAATGAGACACCAAGCTTCTTCGGGTATGACTGCAGGTGGATAGGTGTGAAAGGAGCTATGGTATTGCTGAATTCAATATTCATACTCACGCCCTGATAAATATTTTATAACCGCTAGTTAATGACTACAATAGACCACCATGAGGGAGGTCGTGCTACGAATCGTCGTAAGACTATCGATACTCTTCGAAAAGCATTCTTTGTTCAATATCACATATTCAATTTTGTGAATATAATTTTCATTGTGGAGTTTAATCAAACGAAGAATATAACATTAATGCAGAAGCTAATGAAGCATCAATATCATACTGTTTGTTTTCCACTTAAATGATTGATTTTGTGTATTTAGTAGACAACTAGATTCCTTCAATGATGCACTTTCGAATGCTCGATTCAGCTAAAAGCGTAAAAATATATAAATTGTATTTCACCCAACTAATGCTTCCAAATAGCTCGCATATGTCAGCAGAATTATTTAAAATATGATTCATGTATTTTTTGCATTCTAGTAGTGTTTCGACAAGAGTGACAACTACTAGAATATTACGGCCAGGTAAATTAGTTTGTTAAGCTGAAACCATCGAGTGGCTTAATCCTGAGATGAAAAATTCAGTTGTTTTGCTTATCTTCAGTACACATCAGAAAGCTTATTTTGACAGCAACAGTCCCTAATTCGCCTAGTGCAGGTACTTTGTTTTAGAAAAATATTAAGCATACATCAGTATTATGGGAATAAGATGTTATAAATCTTCTTCCATTTATTTTTACTAAATCAAAGAAATGTCCTCACATACACGGGCATCTTCATCCATCACACTTACATACACGCACACACGTATAACAACTAAGCTGCATAGGGTGTGGGTGGGTGTGAGTGTGGGTGTAGGCGGGTGTGGGTGGGTGTGGGTGGGTGAGTGTGGGTTGGGTGTGTGGGTGTGGGTGTAACTATTAATGGAGCAACACTAACACTCGCAACCATACCCACACCCACACCCTCGATAGCTTGTATAGAATTAGCATTACTTCTTTTCAGTATTTCAGAATTGCTACTTCCTGAAAAAAATCTTTCCAGAAATATTAAAGACCTTAGCAAGAACATGAACGTATCCCTGAAAACACGGATTATTAAAAGAATTGTAATGAAGTTCTTTTTTCCCAAGGAAACTAGGAAAAGGTTTCCGAATTTATATCTGTGAAGGAGAACTATTTCTTATTTAGAGTCCGTGAGGGAAAGATATTCTCGAAAATTTTATCAAGTACCCTTCTAATAAGACTGTCTTAGTCGTAGGCAACGAGGATGATGATTTCTTTTCTTTTTCTTGATTATGGAGAATTGGTGATATGAATGGACAAATGGTAGCGGACGATCATGGTGAAGGCAATCAACTGGATCAATTGAATCAACCAACCGATGTGTTGATCGAGAGAAAGACGAATAGTCTCATTATTTGTGATTGGGGCAACAATGGCCATGGATAATCAGCAATATCTCAATATCTCTGACCATGGCAAACAAGCGATAAGACGATTTCAAATAGAAGACTAAAATAGAACTATCGTGGCTGGTGGCAATAGCAGAGGTGTTAATCTAGATCAACTTAACGGTTTGAACTACATCTTTCTTGATCGACAATAGGCTGTCTACGTATCAGACCACCAAAATTATCGTATGATGAAATGAACTAAAGATGCAACAGAAACAATTGTCGTCGTTGAGGATCAAAGCGAAGGAAATGCTCTAACACAATTATCGAATCTTCCAGGACTCGTTGTCGATACGTTGGGTAACGCGTCTATGTAACAGAGTCGGAAAATGATCGAGTGATGCGTTTACCAAAAGAAGCGACACAAGGTACTGTTATTGTGGCAGGAAATAGTCCAGGAGCAGAAGAAAATCAGTTCAATCCTCTCGGTAGGTTGTCATTCGATCGACATGGCAATCTCTATGTCGTCGATTGGAGGAATAATCGTGTTCAAGAATCTTCTATCGAATAGACTTATTTTGATGGATTAATGTTTTCTTTTCTTTCCTTCAAATAAATCTGATTGAACTGAAAAAAAAAACGACAATAATGTTTTCGAGCATGAAACTAACATACGCACGGGACACACTCAAATCATGCGTACTGAGATGTGTCAAAGAGTCTGGTGGAGGTCGGGTCATGTATCACGGGCGCCCAGATAGTTCCTGGTCGAGCTTTTAGGGTCTACTCAGAAGGCCTACACATTAACAGGAGCTTCAAAGGGACTAACTCATCTACTCTACTCTAACAAGATTCTTCTCTCCTCTCCTATTATCTTTTCAAAATAAAGAAAAAAATTAGTCACTAAGAGGTCGGCGACGCGATGATATTGTTGACTAAAAGAGAAAAAAAGTTAATCAGTAATATGTATAGAAAATAAAAGAAACAATTTACCGCATTGTTATCGTTTTCTTCACTATTCAGTACCTAAAATGAAAATAAAAAAAAAGAAAAACAATAACTAAAAAGATCGATGATGGTCTTACTGCCATCCTTATAATAGAAAATTGTTTTTTATGTCTTGAATGAGAATCTCTTTGGAGTACGTAGATCATCATTCGATTTGTTGCAGTAGACGTAATGTGCCGTCGCATATGATTGATAATTAATCATCGAAAAAAGCTTTTATATAAGCAGTATCATGATTGAGTACTTCGGTTCGAGCCACATGATTTAAACTGTGGTTAGGAGACACAAGAACGTCGTTTCGATAGTTCGTAATCGCATGAAATGTGTCTTCGAACACGACGTCGAATACTTTCTTCTAAAGTACATATTCTAAACAATGCACCACCAATCTGTCTAAATGAAAGATTAGTCTTTAGTTTTGTCCAAAATTGATAAATAGTTTCGAATGGTGTCCGATGTCTTGATGAATTCATACGCAGTACAAAGTGTGATATCGTATCTGTCAACAGTTCTGATGTTTAGCCTGTCCAACTGAGATAATCCTCTTCAGACAATACAGTATCATTTTTGGTAATATAAACGATGCAGTTTTGACATGTGATGATTCAGTAGTGAAGTGATTAATGCGATCAGTCGCCCGTTTAGTTGGTAGCTGAGTTCGTTTATGCAGACATTTTCAAGTCGTAGCAAGAATTAGCACATCGACGGACATTAGGAGATGTAGACAAGTTGTGTTGGCAGAGAAGTATCATACGATTCGACGCCAGATTTCGTGCATCACAAACAATAAACATAATCATCCCTATGGTCAGAAACAAGAGTTTGTTGTTGTTGTTGCTGTTCTTCGGTATCGTCTTGTTTTATGATATATTTACAAGTATGTTGCTTTCAATTGGGTCTATGTCCACAATTGATACAAGACAGTCGATTAGACATTGTTCAAAAGAAAATGAAGACATGTTCTTTCTTCTCTAAACGAAAAACATATATTCTGTTTTCTCATTAATTGAAGACCTGGATGTATATATATATATAGAAAGACTGGTCACACATTTCTAGTAGGTTTGGTTATTACAAACGTGTTTTGAGTAAATAAAAAGAACAAAACAGGGATAGATTATACTGTAAATAGCCAATCATATAATTCGAAATAAGTCTACTATCTATCTATTATGATGAATTTTCAAAAAGTTATTCACCTTTAAGAATACATATCAGCAGAATTTGTCATATGAGGAGCATATGAAATATGATGACAAGCCGAAATGTAAGAAAAAGATTTTATTTGTTGCAGTTGTGATCGCTGAGCACGAGTATGGTATTAGGTTTATAAAATGAAGCGTGATTGCACCAAAAAAGATTATAAAAAATGCAATATCTTAAAAAAGCAGAAAAGTTTGATGAAAAGTTTAGTGCTTAGTTATCAATATATAGCATTTTTAGGATCTTCGCTACCATTTTGAAACGTCTCTAGTTAATGCATCTTGTAGCTCTGTCTTATGCGCAATTTCTGAGGGAATTTGATATGTGGTCATATCTTCTATGGCTGATACGACTCGACACGTTGAAACGCATCATTATCAAATATTTGTTGTATATGATATGATATTAGTCAAAAATTGCACTTTTCTTCGACCAAGATGAGTCGATTGGAGATTTTAAATATCTGAGTTTGTTGCTCATGAAAAGCTATACAAAACTGTAAATAAGAAACATCTCTTTATAAACTCCTTCAACTCATACTGGGATCCATATTGATGAATCATGGGTTGATTGAATAAATTGAAAAATAAATATCAACTGCAATGTGATTATAATCGACCAAAAGAGTACAGTGGTGAAATAAAAATACAATTAAAAATCAGAAACAGTTTAGCATATCGAGAAGAACAAATTTCACTGTTTAATCAAAATCTGAAATAAGAACAACAATACAAATTAAACCATAATAGTCGGGAGCTAAAGAAAAATACACTAACGATGACACAGAAATCAACCATTCTTTCAATATATTACTTTTACCATTTTGTTCCATATCTCTATTCAAATGTTATGCAAGTGAGGAAATAGATGGTTAAAAATGCGTATTTATTGTAACAGTGTCTATTAATAGTATGTGAATGCTATACTGTAAGAATATGTTGTTTTGTCTGAAAAAGTTGTTTTTTGTGAATAATCGTTCGTAGATTACTTTAGCATGAAAAGGAAAAGAATAAATTATGTCAAATAATGAAGGGAAATCATATAGTTCTATATTTATTTGTCATAAAGGGCTGGTATGTTCACAATAGTAATAAATATCGATATATATATATATAGATAGATAAATCATAGTCTGAAGATATTGCAGGTCTCGAAGGAAATTTCTTCTTATTTAAAAGCTGTTGTCAAATTCTCTATAACAATCCGACAAATGGTCACGGTATGCTGGCTCATCTCTGCTTGAGAATTGTTCGTTACATTTTGGACATCCATATTGTTCTGGTTGATGGGAAGGACGAAGTTCATTCATACCTGCTGAAATAAAATATGTGATGACATGAGTATTCATTTCAAGTTCGTTAGCTGTATTAAATAGTAACTGTAGATACCTCTTCATACTGCGTTTCATTATTTACTACATAGAGATGTCAAAGGGATGTGGGTGCGAAGAGGGTTTTAAGATAATACCGACAACAACTCCCATCACCAATATGTTCGTACCTGAATATTGTTGTTGACCAGCAAGAGCTTGAACTCTAGACACCAGAGTGCTTGAAGCATTAGGATTAAAGGTAGCCGATTGTTGATTGTTAACCAGAGATTTCTCACTCGGAGCAATACTACTATGGAATGGAAAATCTTGCCGTGGAACAGCTTCTACAAAAATAAATGAATGCGTTTAGATATTTCATATGATAGATGAATTGAAAGTTTCTTGATGAAATTTATATCGATTTTTGGCCTGCTCAATTTTCAATTCAGTCAACATTAGTAACAGTGCATTAGTGTACCCGTAAAGTCAATATGTACTAACTACATTAAGTCAGTGGCATCAGTGATCAGTTAACTGAAGATAATACAGCGAATATCACGTGGAAATAGATTAAATATAGCATTAATTCATCGTACCCATGTCTGATGTGCATTGAATTAGAATGCATTTACCGAAAGTTCATAAAAACACTGAAAGCAGTAGGAGAAACGGTGATTGTTTACTATCAAAAAAAACGGTAGGTAAAACATATAGATTGATTGATCATGGCGAAAACTAATGTATTAATAAGCTGTTTCTGATAAATGGAATCATCATCTTAGATTATTTATATATTTTGATACTTACCTTGGTATGGTATAAGTTTGATAAGTTCATTGATTTGATTTTGTTGACGTTCAACTACACTGCAAAGTCTTCTTATGTCCTCTTCTATTTCCATCAATTCCTCATAGTCAACCATTGAATCTAAATTTCTGATCAATTAAATAATTTGTTCTTTTACAAATTATCTTACTTATTTGCGAAATTTTTCTTTGAGTATTATCTTCATTGGCTGATGTTACTATTAAGTTTTTCAAATGTGAATTTTCTTTCTGAATTTGTTCATTTTTTTCTTTTTGTTCAATAAATCTTTTATCATGTAAGTCTGATATTTCGTTAAATAATATATCTAAATCTTTAATCTTTTTTTGATTTGAAGAATATACTGGTCGAATTAAATCAACAAGACGTATTATTAAATTTCGATTACAATCTAATTGTGTATTAGTATTTTGTTTAAGGTCTTGTCGATAATAACTTAAAATTTGTTCAATTTGCTTAATTTTTTCCTGTAAATCATGTTCAACAAAAAAATAATCACGATTACCATTAGTATTTGGAGTAGGTATATCAGGATTTATTGAAACACAAGCATAATCAGACGTCAACGAAGAATTTACAATAGTTACATCGTTATCATGCTAAATAAAATCCAAGAGATAATATAATCAAACTTTTATGTTGTTTAAATTTACTTGATTGTCATTAAGAAAATAACTACGCATTGCCATCGAAAATACGGAATGATGTTCTTTCTATGTTTAATCTAGAAGTGAAAAATTTGCATGAAGAATATAGGTAAAGTAAATTGTTTTTTATGATGTCTGTATCCATGGACTTTTTATCGTATGAAAGCGTTATTCACCTTTTACTAAATCGAATCAGGAAGAACAAAATTGTCAACGCCCGCGTAGGTGAAAGAAAAAAAAATGCACATGTTTTTGTTTTTTCCTATATATTCAAATGTGTATGCAACAATGGAAAAATTTGTTGTTTTCTTCCAATTCATCACTCTCCACTTCGTGTGAAATATCCTAGAAGCTAGAAGGTATTTGAGATATTCCTATTTGAAACAACATCTAAACGCTAACTAAAATTTGATGACATCATCATTTCGTGTCTTCATTGCTCTTAGAGAAAAAATAGATAATTTTAATCATATCTATTCTTTTCGATTCTGTCATTTATTTAAAAACATTACTAAGCATGGATAACTCAAGTGCAACGGTATATAAAAAAAAAAAAAAAAGAGAAAAAAAACACGTCCATCAAGCACATAAGAACAGCTTAGTCAGTGACACGAAACACAATCATTATAACAACATAGTGTAACGACCATGGATGAATTTAATACATTTACATCAAAACCTTCAACTACAGAAGAAACTGATTTATTCGGATTTGGAAATACCGATGAAATAACCAACATTCAAAAGGATGATTCATCATGGATTATTGAAAATGTATGAAAAAAAAAAGACTTTTAAAATATTTCTTAACATTTTAATTTAGATTTCTAATATGAAGACATCATCTTCATCTGATATACTTGATGAAACGTCACCTGTACATCCATCCAATGATATATGGAATAATATAAATTCATCAGAAGTATTAAACTCATTTAATGATGATGTGTTTACAAATGAGGAACCATTGAATACATTACCACCGACAGCAGAAGATATTCTTTCTAACGATTTATCAAATCAACAAAAAGGTCTTTAACAAAACAAGAACTATATACTTCTTATATATATATATATGTTTTTTCTATCGTTTACAGAAGATCAATCTTCATGGAATATGTTTTCAAATGAAGTTGTATCACCTATACAAGCTGTGTATAAAAAACGTGAACAAGAAATTGCTGCAAAAGATGCTGAAGAAAATCGAAAAATTGACGAATTACGAAAACAAGCTCAGAATGATTTAGAACATTGGTACAATGAACGAAATAAACAAATGGAACAAAAACGACAAACAATGAAAATTGAAGAAGATAATTTACGTACTCATGCATTAGAAAAAACTACTAAAACATCATGTGATTGGTCAAAAGTTATAAGTTTACTTGATTTTACCGATGGAAAACAATTTTCAAAATCAAAACGAGATTTAACACGTATGAAATCATGTATTTTTAATGCTAAACGTATAAGTGAAAGTAAAAAATTAGAAAACGGTATTTAAAATAATAAAATAAATATTTATCTTTTTTTTTATTTTATTTTATTCAAATAAAAGAAAAATAATCTAATGATTTGATTTACATTATTTAAAAAAAATGAGATTATTGATGAAAGAAATTGTAATTTTGGTGAATGTTGGAGAAGATAATAGTTAAAGCACACATTGATAAGAAATCGGTTATTGTTAAACATGATAATTACACTTTAAGAATAAAAAGTTGTATATATCAAGCATTTATCTTTGAAAGATGACGGGGACATATTTTTTAATTTATTAATTTATATGCGACACTGATAAACATGATCTTCATTTTTCACACAAGAAGAAGCTTAAAATTACAGTATGATGAAGAAACTTTTTCGATATTCATATTTTTTATTATAAGTTTAGAAGATAAATGTGAACACTAAAAGTAACGAATCGAGTACGAATTTATAGACGGTTTTTGTTTTCAAGATAAGTAATTTTATTATAATTTTGTTAAGTTTTAGAATCTGTGCTACATGATGAGAAAGTAAAACATTCTTATGATTGAGATTCGAACTCGAAATTGAATAAATAAATGCTTTCGATCATGACTAAAAAACGACTCATAACGATAACTAATTGACATAATTCTTATCCTATGAGAACTATATTCAAAGTATGTAATGATAAATAACTATCTACTAATTAAAATATCACAATGAAACTAAACATTTTCAATTAAAAAAAGATTTTATTTCAAATTTTTTTTTTCATCCAAACAGTTTGAATTCTTTGAATAGTTGAACCTTTTTGTAAAATAACATGACTATCAACTGTTGATTGTGTTTGATTAGCTAATAAATTTTTTAATATTTGTTCATTACCATTAAATAATTTACTAGAAATATTTAATCGAACACGTGGACTAGTTTCTTCATAACCACATTTTTCATAAAAATGACGTTTATCAGTTGTTGTTAAATAAATAAATTCAATTTTAGATTCTCTTTGATGAAGTTGATCTTCTAGAAGTTTCATTAATATTCGTCCATAACCTATTGAATAAATAGAGAAAATAAAAACATTACAAAAGAAATCTTTTGTTAGTTTTTCTAAAAATCTAACCATTTCCTCTTAATGTTCGTTGTATACAAACTGATTCAACAATAACACTTTGTTCCTCATCTAGAAGTCGATCGATATAACAATAGCCAATAAGTTGATCATTATTGTTTATAAGAATATATGATATAGGAAATTCATTACATGAACGTTCTAAACGGCGCATACGAATAGTTTTTGATTGTGGCCATTCATCATTTAGAAGTTCAATTACATTATTGTGAAAATGTTCATTCTCATGCAATGGTAATAATCGAAGATTAGACGACATGACATGATATATTACAAAATGTATTTACTTATTATCGGAAATAGAACAATACAAAGAAAACATAGGGCAAATATCTTTGGATTCTATTTCATCAACGTGCAGGATTTAAAGGTAGATGTCTCCCATTTATTGTCAAACAAAAAAGAAAAAGAAAAAAAATGTTTTATGACTGTAAATACATATATATATATACGATCATTGTATGTTTTTTATTATGGTTTGTACAATACAGTAGACGTACGGATGGAGTTAATAATGAAACGAAACAAAAAAAAGAAAAGAAAAGAAAAGAAAAAGACATATTTGAGCGTTGATATATGCTGTGTTAAAAGCACACAAAAAAGAAAATGATCAAAAAAAAAAAATTTTTATGTGTTTTGTTCTTGTTCTATATTCTTCTGATCATGACCATTCTATAAACACAAAAAAACAAAAGAAAAAGAAAAAGAAATCAATAAATAATTGTTAATCATTATGTTACTTCTTTATCATTCAATATAATTTCTTGAGATTTTCTATTATCATCATTTTTATCATCATCTGATTCTTCACTTGCATGTTCAAGCCATTGTAACCATTTACTAACTTGAAATAATGCTTTACCTTTACCAGGTATATCATCATTAATATCTTCTTTCCATTTAAAATAAGCATCTTCTTCAATTATATCTAAATCATATGAATAAACAAAAAGACGTAATAATAATTCTTTAGGAAAATTATTTTTATATCCAATTAATTGTAATGCATATAAAGCCCAAACTTGTTGTTCAATTGTTTTAATATATGTTTGTAAACATTGACGATGATTTTCAATAAAAATTTTTTCTTGATTTAATGTTGTTTTATCGGTTTTTAATGATGTTAATGTTGGTGATATAGCTGTTTCATATATACATGAAACTAATGTTTGAATAAACAATTGTGTATTTTTATCATAGATTTTTGTTTGATCTTCAACAAATAATAATAATTCATTCGAATCAACTGATGATGAAGAAAGTTTATTGAGTAATTCAACACGTAATTTCAAATGTGAACATAAATATGCTAAACGACGATCTTCAAGAACTTGAAGAAGTAATGCATCTTGACGTTCACTTTCAGGTAACATATCACGCATATTTATGCGACAACGTTCCAGTAAATTGCACCTGTTATAAAAATGAAAGTTATAAAAAAAATATGTTGTTTTTATCAGAAACGTTTACTGCATCTATAAACAGACAGTGCGAAGGGCAAAGATTCGGGTCGCAATCGCTCCGCGCTTGCTCACTGAGTTTTAAACTACTATCGGCGCCAGAATTCAAGGCAGTCGGATGTTTTTTGAATAACTTTTGATAGGAACAAAATAGAGACGTGCGGTTTTCAGCATTTGATAGGAAAGACCCAGGAGCAGATTTTCATAAGCAAAATCTTTGCTGAGAAAAACAAAAATCTGAAGATCGGTTTTTCAGCGGATCTTTGGAAAACCACGCTGGATTTCTGAAAACTGCCATAGGAGTATATTGATTTTTTTAGATATTCGGAATCAGCATCGAAAACTGAGTCGATTTATGAATGTTTCGAATCTTTTCACGAACTTTTTCTTTCGCCGAAAAATTCATTCCTGGTCCTCCTGAGGAGGAGATCAAAAAATAAAGTCAGTCAAAAAGTCACTTGGACAACGGAAATCGAGTTCGGAGCTTCTAAAATGCTAGTAGAACATAAAATGGCAAATGAATAAACAATAAAAACGGAGTTTTGGCTGCCTTCATTTTTTGACCTGCCACTCATGGGGACCAGGGGTGAATTTTTCGACGAAAAAAAAAGTTCGTGAAAAGATTCGAAATATACGTGATTNCAAACTTCTCTTCACCTCTGTTGCTCACTCCCAAGCGAACACCGTGACTCCGTCAACTGATCGAATATCATACGGCAAAAGAAAATTCATAAAGAAACTTTTGTTTACATCCTTTCCTCACTTCGAGGCAAACAATGCGACTCAGTCAGTTGATTGAGGACCACATCGTGAAGGAACATTCATCAAGATACTTCTGTTTATCTCTTTTGCACACTTCAAATTGAATGTTGCGACTCGGTCAGCTGATCACAGATCACATGGCGCAGAAACAATCATCAAGAGATTTGTATTCACCACTTATGCATACTTCGAAGCAAACATTACGACTCGTTCAACTGATCGAACATAACATGTCGAAGGAACATTGCACAGAAAATTTCTATTCACCTCTTTTCCTCATTTCAAATCAATCGTTGCGAATTGGTCAACTGATCGAAGCTTACAAGACGCAGAAACGTTGCTCATCACACTTCTGTTCACCTCTTTTTCTAATTTCAAAGGCAACATTACGGCTCTGTCAGGTGATTGAAGATCAAATGCGAAAGGAATATTCATCAAAAGACTTCTGTTTACCTTCTTTTGCTTACCTCAAAGCGAACGTTACCACCCAGTCAGCTGGTCGACGATTACATGCAAAAAGAATGTTGCTCAGAAGAATTTTGTTCGCCTCTTTTGCTCACTCAGAATCAATCGTTGCGACTCGATCAGCTGCTTGAAGATCGCATGCCAAACGCACGTTTATCACGATACTTATGTTCACTTTTCCTGCTTACTCCGAAGCAAACGTTGCAGTTCAGTCAGCTTATCAAAGACCATATGCTGAAGGAGCATTCCTCAACAGACTTCTATCTACCTGTTTTACTCACTTCGAAGCAAACGTCGAGACTCGATCAGCTGATCGCAGATCGCATGCCAGAAGGACACTCATCAGTAGACTTCTATTCAACTCTTTTGTTCACTTCGAATCAAAGGTTGCGGCTTGTTCAGCTGATAGGAAATCACATGGCAATGAAATATTACTCATCAGATGTCTGTTCACCCCTTTGGCTTACTTCGGAGCAAACTATGCGACTCGATCGGCTGATCGAATATCATATAGGAAAGGTACATTGATGACGATACTTCTGTGCACCTCTTCTGATCACTTCCAATCAAATGTTAAAACGCGGTTCGCTGATCAAAGATCACATGTCAAAAGAGCTTTTCTCATCAAGATACTTCTGTTCTCCTCTTTTGCTCACTTCGAAGGAAATGTTTAAGGCTCGCTCAGCTGATCGATAATCACATGTAAAAGTAACATTCATAAGCACACTTCTGTTCACCCTTTCGGCTCATTAGAAGCAAATGTTGCAATCCCGTCAGCTGATCGAACGTCACATGGCAAAGGAACATTACTCATCAGACATCTTTTCACATCTTCTGCACGCTTTGAAACAAGAAATGCTACTCGGTCAGTTGATCGAAGGCCACATACCAAAGAAACATTAATAACGATACTTTTTTCCACATCCTTTGCTCGCTTCGAAACAAGCATTGCGACTCAGTCAGCTGATCGAACATCACATGGAAAATAAATACTACTCATCAGACTTCTGTTCATCTCTTTTGCTCACTTCGAAGTAAACAGTGCGCCTCGGTTAATGAACCGAAGATCACATGGCTGACAAACATTCATCAAGAGGCATCTGTTCAGATATTTTCCTCACTTCGAAGCAAACGATGCGACGGGGTTAGCTAATTGAAGGTTCCATGCCAAAGCAACACTCATCATTATACCTCTGTTCACGTTCTCTTCTC